GGGTTTCCTGCCTAGGCAGGGGGTTGGACTAGAAGACTTCCAAGTTCTCTTCTAACTCTGCTATTGTATTGTATTGTATTGTATTGATTTCTGGCAACTGCCTGATGTGTTCTTGGCAATATTTTCAAAAGTGCTTTGCCTTTGCCTAGGGCTGAGAGAGAGGTCAACCAGATGGCAATTTTCTATTTCACAGAAAAGGAGGGATTTTGTTACTAAGCGAAGACTGAGTCGAAACTGGGAGGCCACCAGGTAAGGGAGGCGTGACTAAAAAGATGACAAACATGATCTCTGGGCAGAGAAGCAGAGTTAACACCCATTCCTTGGATTCTCTACTCAGCACACTGGAGAAGAAGAGGGTTTTGTTGTTGTTGTTGTTGTTGTTGTTGTTGTTGTTGTTGTTGTTAATTTAATAAAGGTATGATTAACAGCATGCTGTGATACTTTTCATTCTCTTTATTTTTCACTTGTCAAAGTCCTTTGTATCAATTTAGGAATAAGAGGAAAGCTTTAGTGTGGCAACCTTCCAATTAATGGAAGTAGTTCTCATGTGGCACTCATTATGATTTAAGTTTGAGACACACACACACCCTTTTAACAAGTGCTCCAAATCATGTTCAATGAGGATAAAGAGCTCTTGCTAAAACAAGACAATCTGGCTGGCAAACACTCTCAGGAACCCCCATGAAATCTTTCTGTTTGCAACAAAGGTCTCTGTGTGTTTGCAAATACAACTACGACCAATTATGGTTTAGCTGAAAACATGCCTAGGGACTCGTTTCTTAAAGTGGTATAACTGCAAACCAACCTTTTATGGTTTCTTGGATGATGTACAAAACTGACACTGTTATTAGTTCCAGCCATGCTGCCTGAGGACAAGCAATTTTACTTATGTGCCCTAAGTAAATAACTTCGATTCAGAAGAATATTGCTACAACAAATACATGAAAGCCAGTTTGGAATAGTGTTTAAGGCACCAGGATAGAAACTGGGAGATTGCAAGCTGCCAGGAGTCAAGAACAAAAAACCAAATACTTAAGAGGACCATTTTCTATTTCTCCCTGAAACACAACAAATAGCATATTTATTGTTTATTTATTAGAGTTTTTTTTACCTTGATTACTTTATAAATACCTCAAAATGGCAAACATACCACATATGCCTCCCTCTATTTTCCCCATAACAACAACCCTGTGAAGTAGGATGGGCTGAGAGTGTGACTGGTCCAAGGTCACCCAGCTGCCTTTATGTGCTTAAAAGGGAATTGAATGCACAGTTTCCTGGTTTCTAGGCCAGTACTAATTAGCCACTACTTAGCCACTATACCAAACTGATTCTCTACACCAGGAATGTCAAACTCCTGGCCCATGGGCCAGATGTGCCATGCGCTGACCACGCTCACCCCCATTTTAACGAAGGGGGGGGAAGTCCAAATATGCCACATGATGACAACGTGATGCTGCAAGTTTGACATCACTGTTCTACACTGTTTAAAAATTCAGAGAAAAGTAGCAGGAGTATATATTTTGCACTAGCAACTATAGCTATTTGGTAGAGTTTTTAAATTCATGATACACTGTAATGTATATGTAAAGGCTTTAACAATGTTTCTTAAATTGAAATTGAACACAAGAAGTCATGAAACTATGCTTAGCCCAAAAGGGGGGGGGGGGAATGTGATCAGTCTACTTACTGCTGGAAGTTATCATGAACGGAATTAAGCAAATTAACCTGAAAAAGCCAAAATATAAAGTTTTCCAAGTAAAATGTTTTTTAAAGTCATTCAAGCAATAGACTTGTTAAAAAGCAATTTATATACAGTATGATTGTATATTATACAATAGAGTATTGATTACATGATTACTGGCACATGAACATGTACTTGCAATCATTGTGGTAAGAATATTTATCTATGAACCAGTTTGTGTTTACCTTGGTATATTAAATGCAAATACTATATGCTATCACATTTCCAGCACTATATAAAATGTGTGCTGGCAGAAAATTTAGATTACCGCAGTCTAAAATATCCAAATATTTATTGTATTTACAAATATACCACTGTTCAAGCAAGCACAGATATTTAAATAAACACAACATAAGCATAAATATGTGTTGCATTTGTGCTGATAAATAAATAAAGAGAGACTAATATAGATCTATTTCAAACTATTTAGCTGTTATCAGCTAGCCATACCCTTACTGGGATTTGAACCTGGGCTGTTTTTACATGTTAGGCAGTTGTATTAGCCACTAAGCCACAAGCTTTCCTCCCTTATCAGCTGTGCCAAAGAAATAAGTAAGTGTTATGTCAAAGCACCCAATATGCCCAAATATGGGAGGGAGCATACTGCTTCCCTTTTGGCTTTCAACTCCAACCTAGGAGCCTTCTAGGCAGGAAACCATTTTTGTGTTACATTTATGCTGATAAATAAATAAAGGAGACTAGTATATATCTATTTCAAGCTATTTAGCTCTCATCAGCTAGCCATACCCTTACTGAGATTTGAACCTGGGCTGTTTTTACATGTTAGACAGTTGTTGAATTAAATAAAATTGTTGAATTTTCCCATAGAAAATGGCCAAATTACACTGTGGTGAATTGGTTGTGGTGAGCTGGCCACTGTGAGTTAACCACAGAAAGTTGACTGTGGCAAATTCTCACATTCAGTGGACATCAGTCACTGCTGAACCTATCTTTATATCTACATTAACAATATTTTAAGGCAAAGGGTTGTTTGCTTTACAAATTCGAAGTGTACCCCAATATAATTTTTTAATAAGCAAGCATAAAGTGTATTTTAGTGCTAAATAAGCAGATGTAGGATTTGAAGCCTTAGCTGAATTATTTCATGATATTATCAAGCTCAAAAATAGGCTTTGTGTTTTCCCAAATTACTGCAAATTTTATTTACCTCTTTTTCCAAATACACTTTTTTATCATCCAGTGTGTTGTAGAGGGTAAAAAACTGCTTTGTTTCTTTGTGCGTTGCTGATACTGCGGAAAATCAAGAATTCAGAAAAACAAGTTAAAAATGTAGCAGACCACAACTGATTGTATATTATTTAGTTTATAGCCCATCTTCCTACTCCAACAAATATTCAAAGATGCTGAAACAAAAATTAAAACACAAGGAAAATAATTTCAAAATACAGAATAAAATGAACAGTGAACTAGCTCCCAAATCATTTAAGACTTAAATGGCTAGATCAGGGGTTCTTACTTTGACAATTTTAAGATAGGTGGTCTTCAAATCCCAGAATTCCCAAGCCAGTTATACCTTTTAAGGATAGTCTCCTACAAGTAGTCCCTGGTTTACAACTGTGATTGAACCTGGCAATTATGGTTGTAAGACATGACAATCGTAAAGTGGTTTGAAAAAATCATGTTTGGCCAAATCCAGATGTTGTTACGCCAATGCAGTGGTTGTTAACCGAACAATGAGAATATTAGGTGAATCCATTGTTCATTATGGCCTTTTCTTTCTGCTGGAAAGTGGAAGTAAATGCCAGTTTCTGGCAGACTTATTGTAAATCTCTATCATGTGATTGCAGGACACTGCAAAAAAAAAAAACTTTTGAGGGGTCTGCTGTAACTTTGAATGGCTGTTAAGCAAATGATCATAAGTTATGGACTATCTATATTATAGTAGTTGAGATGTGATGTAGCAAGGCAAGGCATGGGTAACTATTGCTATATCTAACTGTCTCAGAGTATGTCACAATCCAGATATCTAGCACATTTGTTCAAAGGAAATCCTCACTAAGCTGCCATCAGTGAATCCAATGTTATCTCAATGTGTGTGCACAGATTTTTTTTTTCAGTAGTCCAGTTCTTTTCCTTATGCCAAATGATGATTATCAGGATTGAAAGTTTGTATTTGCCTTTATAGTGGTTTGATCCATTATGCTAAAAGAATGTTTATGCATTCAGGATGTTTTCTTTTCACAGATCACTACTGCTCTCTTCATATTTTATATACCATTAAAGTAGCACCCTTAAATGTTCAGAAAGAGATCTAATAAAACCATTTCATTTAAGTGAGTAACTGTATGGGTTATGGATTTCAGCAGACATTCCTCTGGGTGCCTATGTTAAGAAGTGCATCCATTTTTGATGGAATTGTTCCTACATAGTTCTGTTTCCAAAACAGCTAATTACTAAATTGCATCCTTAATCTACACCAGGTGTCTCTAACCTCTGGCCCGTGGCCCACTACCGGGCTGTTGTCTATTTGCACATGAGTGGCAGGCAGTGCATTCGCAGCCCACTTGCAACCCCACTCACACAAATGAAACTGTATGTGCATGCACACATGCCTGCCCCTCACACAAAACCATCCCTTTCCCCCACCTCAATGCCACCAAACCTGAAAGGGAATGCTAGTCTACACCATGGATTCTGCAATTTCCCCAATCTTAAATAGCTCATTTGAAATTATTGCATTTAAACTTTACAGGCAGTTCATACTACAGTCATCAAATTACTAAACAAACCCGCTAGTAAAATCAAGTATTTTCAACCATCTAAAAATGTTAAAAAAATACAATTATAATACCCCAATTTGAGACTAAGCATCAGACTACGACTGGAACTGTTTTCTGTTATGAAAACCATCCATGATTGATATAATGGAACCTCAAATACCTAGCCCTAATTTATTTTGGGTCAAGTGTCTTTTAAATTTTCAAGAGGTTATCAAAAGATAAGAAGTGACCAAGAGGTTGGCTGAAACTGTTTACTATGCATGCGGATGGATGGATGGATGGATGGATGGATGGATGGATGGATGGATGGATGGATGGATGGACGGACGGACGGACAGACGGACGGACGGACGGACAGACAGACAGACAGATAGATAGGAGAGGTGGGGGCTTGTTTGGCTCTGTTATTGTATTTTCTTTCTTTCTTGGAGTCTGTATTTTAACGTTGTGAATAAAATAAAATAAAAAGAAAGAAAAGACTAAGCTGGCAAGTAATCAGCCAGTCTAAAAACACCAGGCAATAGATCTTAACATAAAATCAACATTCTGTGAATTGTAGCTCACATAAATTTATTGGAAGTGACAGAACTTCAGCTAGTAAAGGAAAAAAGGTTATTCTAAATGATTTGTAATGCTCGTTTAAGCATCTATCAGGCAGGCAAAAGGTAGAATTCTCCTAAATCATCCATTCACTACATTAAGCACAACCAAGGAAAAAAAAAATCTGTTCTGGAAAGAAATAAGGCAGAATCTGACACAAAACACTCTACAGGCTATTAATGGTACTGGAGAGCCTGAAAAGGCATAATGGTAAAACTCATATATTATTCTGATGTGCCTGCTGATCCATCATATGCATGCATGGCTATGCACACACAAATGGACCAAACAGATCAATCTGCTCTATTATATTTTTACTGCCTCTTACTGCTTGATATGTGGTTCTATTTTACCACATTCTTTACTTCCATGTCTATATGTATGTACACACACACACACACACACACACACACACACACACACAGTTTAATTCACTGCCCCAACAGCTTTTGAGGAAAGCTGATGTATTTTTTTAATTTAAAGTAGTTTTTAAGGATAAGTAATGACAAATGCCAAACTACAATTGCAGACTGGCAAAACATCAGGCTGGGAGTACCACACCAGTGATGGGAAGAACCCATTCAGTGCAGAGATAATGGCATTTTCTACCAGGATAACTTTAGTATTAGTCACATTCCATATACAGAGTAAATTCTGCTTTCACAAAGCATAACACACAGACATATACTGTCAATCTCATCTCCAACCCAAATATGCAACTTCTGTTTAAAAAAACCTGAGAGACACAAACTACATTCAATTTCAGAATACACTGGTCTACATGGAACATGAGCTAATGTCTAAAAAAGTTCATAGACCTTATGGTTGTAAGCAAAGATCTGTAAATACCTACACTTCTGGAAGAAAAGAATCCAGAAAAGGATAAGCAGTTGTGCTCCCCACTTAATTTCCCAGTTTTACAATTCATCTATTACCTGCAGCAAGAGATAGTTCTGTCAAATGCATCTGTTGGGAAGCAGATGCCATGTTTTAATGCTCTTAACATTAGTATTTATCCAAAGGACTTTTCAAATGTAAATAGACTTTAAACAACTTCAGAACTCTAAAAAAACCTAACCCGTCTGCCATTTATTACCCAACCTTTATAAATAGCGTTATAAATTAATTTTATTAATTTTTGGAGTTAATAGAAATAAGTGAACCTTCCACAAAACAAACTTCTGGATGCGCAATCCTGCATTAATTTGGTTTTCTTGGCAGCGTTATAGACACTGCTTGGTTATTGTTTTCAATGGTTGGTTATTGTTTTTAACTTCCTAATCTTGCGGTACAGAGAACCAGTTTGGTGGGCAGTAGAGATTTAAGGCCCCAAGGTAGAAACCAGGAGATTGAGAGTTCCAGTCCCACCTTAGGCACAAAACCAGCTGGGTGACTTTGAACCGGTCACTCTCTCAGCACAAAAAGCAGGTAAGGCAGACTTCCAAATATATTGCCAAGAAAATTGCAGGGACTTCTCTCAGAAGGTAACTGACTCGAAAGTATTCATCACCACCATCTAGTCTACAGCTCTGGAATTCCCAGGAGGGAATCCCATCAAAATCCTAACAAAGGCCAAACATACATAGCTTCTGAGATCAGCCAAAGTTGATTTAGATGCTGCCATCTTCTGAAATACATGCTTATTATCTTTTACCTACCCACCCTCACAGAAGTACCAAATCTTCAACCTGCAGGTAATTTTTAAAGTACCCGAGAGGAGAGGCATAGGAAGTAACTATCCAAAGGTAACTTAACAGAGCTACTATTAGCGAGGTGCGTTGTCATGCTCTATAAGTTCATGCTATTTAGCAGTGAGAGATACACATACCTTGACCATACAGTTCAATAAATCTCTTCTGGTACTGTGTCAACTCAGCTCTGCTGGGCACCTCATCAATCTTACGTTGCAAAATAGCTATTTCCCTATTTCGGCGGGCCTGAAGGGAATTAAAACAAAAAATAAAAACTAGGTAGCTTTTAAAAATGGAGCAACCTTCCAAAAGAACTTGATAACAGAATCGATTGTGCTACAGAGCAGGTACTTCCCTGGGACAGCTCTTTGTTGAAATAGCTTTTAAAAAAAATAGTTACATGAAATGATGTTTACATTTTGAAACATTCATTTTAAGAAATTAACATTCATACATTAACCAGAAATTATGTTGAACATGATGGAAAAATGGGAAGAAATTTATTAAATTCACCCCCCCCCCACGCTAACTTACCAGAAGAAGTCTGATCTTCTGGAGTTTCTCTTTCTCCATTTTGTATTGTTGGTCTATAATTTTAGTAGGTTCCTAATATTCAAGACATAAAAATATCCATATTCATGTGAGCTGAATTAAGATCTATGAAACCAATGAGGAGCAGAACAGTGTACAACAATACAGGTAGTCCTTGACTTACAACAGCCCATTTAGGGATCATTCAAAGTTACAATGGTGCTGAAAAAAATGGTTTATGACTGTTTTTCACATTTACAACCGTTGCAGCATCCCTATGGTTACATGATCAAAATTCAGATGCTTGGTTCATATTTATGATGATTGCAACATCCTGCGATCATGGGATCAGCTGACAAGCAAAGTCAATGGGATAGCCAGATTCACTTATCAACTTGTTACTGACAACTGTGGTGATTCACTTAACAACAGTGTCAAGAAAGATCGTAAAATAGTGCAAATCTCACTTAAATGTTTTACTTAACATAAATTTGGGCTCAATTCTAATCATAACTTGAGAACTACCCTATTCTTTGGAGTAAAAGACGCACCTTTCACCTCCCCCCCAAAAGAGCGTGGAAATGTTGGTGTGGCTTATACACCGAATGCAGCCATTTTTTGCCTCCCAAAGCCCCACCCCCGGATCTAATTTTTGTGAAAAATGGGCCAAAAACAGGGGCGTTTTTGCCTTCCTCCACATCCCCAGAAGCACTCTTCAGCAGGATTGGGAAAAGGGAAAAATGCCTCCATTTTGGTGAAAAACGGGCCATTTTTCACCAAAATGGGGGTGTTTTTCCCTTTCCCCACACCCCAGAAGCACTCTGCAGGCTTCAGCAGGGCTGGGGGAAGGGGAAAATGTCCCCGTTTTGGTGAAAAACAGCCTGCGTTTGCCTTCCCCCAGCTCTGCTGAAGCCTGCAGAGTGCTCCTGAGGGCCGGGGAGGACAAACACTTTTTTTTCTTACTTACCTTTGAAATCTTGGTGTTCCTTATACACCGGTGCATCTTATAATCCGAAAAATATGGTGCCTGTATTCATCATTTAGTTCTATACCAAATGAAATACCTCATTCCTGCTACTTGTCAGAAAGAGGTTACTGATTTCAGAAGAGGATACAAATGGTTAATGGTGTAAATTAAGGAGTAACTGAGAGTTAAAGGTAATGAGAGAAAGGAAAAATAACATTTAAGGGATTCTGGAGCTTCTTCTAACAAGCATCCACACATGATACAGTCCTAATTTATACCTAACCCTCCCTTTGCCCCCCAAAAAGTTAATATATTTTGATTTAAAAACCCTTGTTCAGGTTGGGGCATGTTTCCTACTTGACAGAAGCCAAAGTAGAAAACCAGATAGATATTAAAGGTCTAAGACCAAAGGAACAATGAAACTTGGTCAATGAAGCTCTTCCCCCTTTTAGAAACTCAGCTGAAAGAGGTGAAAACTTTCCTGCCCCTGATTCATTAATCAGTTTGAATTTTCCAGGCTCTGTTGCTCTCTCCTGACCAATTTAGACCATCTAGTATCCTTTGATTAGCTCTCAGTGTTTCAGCTTCTTGGTATGTTTTCTCCCCATTCATAATAACATAGATTATCCATGAATGGACTGAAGTATTTCAGACTATGCTTACTTTAAAAGAGACTCTCTTTCAGAATGACATCATTCATTCATTCGTTTTCTAAGCTATTATTTTTAATTTGCTAATGATCTTTATTTTTCTTGTAGATTTATATACGTTTCTTCATTTTTAATATTTCTGATTTTTTAAATACTTTAATGTTAAATGCATTTTAATATTAATGTCATTTTATAGCTTCAATAAATAATGTGGGATGACAATATATATGAAATGTTGTGACCATTACATCACTACATAGCATTCATACAAAATTAATTTTTGGTTTAATTTTATATACATTTTACAAACTTTTATTACCATTATAATTTCACAGAGACATATTTTGGTTCACATTAAATCACACGATCACTATCCATTTTTGTAAAAAAAAAATGCCTTCAATAAAGAAATATTAAAAAGAAAAGAGTTAAGTGTCATCTAAGCATTATCTACCATGTATTCAACTACCGGGTTTTGAATAAGAAACAGTTTTCTTATTCAATGGATGAGACAGGACAAACATTAAATCAAGAAGTGTATTAATCTGAAAGTGATTATAGGTAAACGTCATCTTATAGATCTAGGACCTGCCAGCTAGAGATTGGCAAAAAACAAACAAACAAACCCATGTCAGTTTCTAACCAGAACTAGCAGATAATTGCAAGGGTTTTCTCAATTAAAGATAATTATCAAAGAAGCAAAGTATAGAAATTTCCAATACTTGCTGTTTACCCTTTCCTCTCCACTTTCAGCTGCTTCTGCTTTCAAATTTTCAATGTTTTGTTGGAGGCGTGCCATCTCTTCCTTAAACAATAATAAAAGTAGAAATAGTTCATCTCCAAACACAAGTACTCTTTATGAAAAAAGAAGCCAAGAACTGAATAATCAAGAACACATATTGTGTTCAAATTCAGTTAAGATACACATGGACTAGAGCAGGGATGTCAAGCTTGCATCATCATGGAGTCATCCTGTGATATATCGTGACGTTTTTCCCTCCTTTGCTAAACGGGCGTGGGCGTGGCCATCGTGTGATGCATCTGCCCCACAGGACGCAAGTTTCACAGCCCTGGACTAGAGACAATGTTTTAATTTTATTTAAAAATTAATTTGTTATCTTAAATAACAATGATTTAATTTTATTTTAAGATAGAACTTCTTTTACAAACTTAATAGGATGCTCTACTGTTGACAGTTGCACACTTGGGGCGGGGGTGGGGGAGAGACGCAGATTTTTTTTCCTGAAATATTTCTTGCAGCGGAAAATAAAAGACGCACGCTGGCTTGAAAATGTTAGTATACCTATATTGATTAAAAATGCATCCACCATCAAGATTACAAGAAAAAATAGTTGAAAGATGTACCTGCAAAGCAACTTTCATTTTAAAAAAATCAAAGGAGATTATGAAGCCACAACATTTTAGGGCATTTAAATGAATTCGGGAAAAACAATTCTCTAGCAATCTATAACTGTTATCCTAAAAGGCATTAAGATACTGGATCTGAAAATTCATAGGACATTTCATTTCTCTTATTTTGAGTCCTACTTTTATCCTAATGCCTTTTCAGAATAAAATGCATGCCATCTGCACAGCAAAAAATTATGCCCCCAATTTCTCTTAACAAGGTGCTGTTTTAGCCTCTACGTAACATTAATAACTCATGAAAACCTTAATTGCAGCCTACAACTACAGACATAGTAATATAGGAAGCAACCTTACACCAGGTTAAATGAATGATCCATTCAGCCTAGTAATGTAATTAGAAAATTATCTTCGTTAAGAATTCTGGGAATTAGAAAGCATATATCTGCACAAGTCAATCCAACTAAGTTTACGCTGACCAGATTTACCTGAAGTTGCCTGTACACGCAATTGGACAAAGATCACTAGAACACTAGCTATGTGACACTAATACTGATATTTAACTGACATTTAACTTGGCTAATCTAAATTAGCAAATGATAAGGCAAGACTATTCAGTTCAACTTTGCTATTTACCAAGCTCCACAATCAACTGATAGATGGAAATAAGTCTCATCTAAAGAACACAGAGCCATCCTTTCAAATAAAAAGTCCACTCCTCATTATTTTAACTTTCTTAATTCCAGTGGCTTAATTTAGCTTTTTTTTTTTTTAATCATGTTGCTTTTAGTATTGTGAAACAATCAGGATTCCAAAGCCTTTGCAAATTTATAGTCTCTCGTTCCTGCGTATCCTACCTATATAGCATGGTTTGATCACAGGTGGCCAATCATTTTCCTATACCATGCTGCAAAATCAACATATGTAACACATATCTTAAAAGAGCTTCTTATACAGCATTACACAAACAGCAACAGAAATATATCTAAATAACTTTCTTAAACTTACTCTACAATGTGCTTTAAATTCTTGTTCTTGACCTTTAAGATTCTCATTCATTGCCACCAGCGCTCGGAGTTTCTGTAATACACTAGGATAATAATGTGTAATGAATTAAACTTGAGGATTTAGAACACCTCTTCCAAGCAAATGTAAGCAGTGGTTGAAGAAAAAATGTGTTCCCCAATTATCTGAAGCACTCTAGCTCAGGGGTGTCAATCTTGCATTGTCACATTGTCATCACATGACGTATCACGACTTTTTCCCCCCTTTGCTAAAACAGGGGCATGGCCAGCGTGTGGTGCAGCTGGCCACGAGTTTGACACCCCTGCTCTAGCCAATGCCACAGAATAAAAGTTGGAAAATAGGCTTAATAAAACAAAACTTTGTGAAAATCAACCATCTAAATTACTACCAGCAGTTACATTTCACCCTACATAAAATATTTCTAAAACGTTAATTTTGGAAGAAAAAAAAAAGAATAGGAACTTCAGTTGAACGTACTGCATTTTTGTCTGAACTTTACCTATTAGACTTCTTTTATAAATACAATAGATTCAAACTGAAGTTCCTAAAAAGAATATGCTTAACATTTCTGTTCAAGCAAGTAAAACTGAAATGCACTTGCATTGTGTTGATTGTATGGTATTCTTTCAAAAATTATTGTATACTGTAAAAATAGGGATCAAAAGTTTCAGTGAGAACATTTGTAAAATATTTTGGTCTATAATTTGTTTTGATGTAGACTATATTGCCAAAAGTATTTGCTCACCTGCCTTTACTCGCATATGAACTTACTGTAAGTGACATCCTATTCCTAATCCATAGGGTTCAACATGACGTTGTTATTCACAAGTTCTACTTCTTAAATATATATATATATATATATAAAGAGCCCTTTTGAAAAAGAATTTTTAAACTCATTTACACTCTAGCAAAACTAATGCCCTAACTCTTGGTAAATTAGAATTAAACTGTAACCCATTTAATTCCAGGGAGAAAAACAAGTATGTGATTTAAAGCAATAACACTTTAAAAATAAATTAGTCCGCAGTATTTTGTATCCAGCCACTGCCAAACTTTCTGATTCTTTCTAAATGCCAATGCTTGCTGCATGTATGAGTAAGAATGAGTAAATGTTACTTAATGTAAGATTCTATTTGCTATCAAATATAAGAAGCACAGTGGTCACGTGGTTAGGACATTGGGTAGATTAGCAAGCTCACATTTGAGACCCAAATGCTCCCATGGAGCAGAGTTGAGCTCCCATCTCTCGCTCCAACTCCTGCTGGAGCTGGAGCAAAGGCCCCACAATTGGGCATCCCCCAGACAACAGTGATATCACCAGCTAATCCTTTTAACTAAGAAGAATTTTGGTGCTTCTGACATAAATGCTGTGCTATGAAATATTTGTGGGGGGCAAAATAAACAATAAAGTACACCAGTATGAAAGGAATAAAGCAAAAGGGGAATAGATGTAGCACGTACTTTGCATCTGCTTGGGATTCCACCACTTCCAAAGTTGCCAACTCCTTATCTAATTTTTCACTATATGATTTAACCTATGAAATCAGAATTTATAACAGATGGTGTAAACATTTTGTGGATCAAAAGATGGTTAAAAGAAATAAATCTAATCAGCAAGAAACACCCTCTAAGATTTTATCTGTCTCTGTTATGAACTCTTGGCAACATCTGGCAATGTTTTCATTGTATAACAAGCATGATTTCTAAAAGCATAATTGTTTTCCCTCAATAAACAGTGGTAGTAGATCACATGACTAAACGTATTACACATTCAGCATAATTTTTTTGTCTGAGCACAATTGCTACATTCTTTGAAATTTAGAAAACAGGACACATGAAGCAGATATAACACTTATTTCTGCAGAAATCTAAGAATGGTGAAGTATGCTGATTTCACTAATCTATTCAATATTTCCAGTGGTGACTGAATCCTTTGAACATCTGATTCAGTTTCTCAGACTAAGATATCCTACATCAAATAAAATATAACCTGAATTCATCTCGATTTGTTTTGTCCATAATTAGGCATACATGTACCCAATTAACAATCGGGATAACACTCGATTTCTTTTTCCAGTCGTTCAACTTCAATTTGCAAGTCCTGGTACTTTGTAATTTTTTTCTTGCTGCTTATCTTCAATTCGCGCATCACCAGGTACAGCAATGTCAATGAACCATATTTTTTTCTTTTCAACTATTGTTATGTCAGGTGTGTTGTAGACCAAGTGCCTGTCAGTCTGAATTCTGAAATCCCACAAGATCTTGACTTTTTCATTCTCTAGAACCTTCTCAACCTGATGTTCCCAGTGGTTTTTGCTGTACTCAAATGTAAACCTCTGGCACATTATTATTATTATTATTATTATTATTATTATTATTATTATTATTATTAT